CTATATGGAATATGAAAGCGCTAAAATTATATTCGCTGCTTAGCACGTACCCATGAGAACGTGCCGCAATTTGTTTATATATATATTTATTAATCCAGAATTTAATGAATCACCTGTATTTATGAAACATTCGAAACATTCGGAACTTCATCCATGTTAGATAACTTGGTAGAGCAGACATAAAGACAGACAGTTCTTAAAATTGAATCGTATTTTATTCGAAATCATCGCAGAACAAAGTGACATTTTAACATAATTTATAGTTTTTGTTTCTTACATCAGTTTTACCAAAAAAGAATCATCGGAACAATTGTTCCTGGTACAGAGACGTCTATATTTTGTCCCTATTGGTAACGGTATGTAGAATACTCGTTAATTATAATGAGACCTGCATTTTCTAAAGACAATCGAATATTTCGGTTGACGACAACGCTAACTAAAAGAACAAATAAACAAATAAACGTGTAGCAGACTCATTCGTAATGAATGATATTAATAATGATAGCTGCATAGAGAAATATTCGTAGAAGGATAATGCGAAAAGGTGCGTCATCTTTTTTCTTATTGTTGATCTATCTGCTCACTGGCATTGATCGACACGGCGAGCAGGCGACATGCGTTTACATGTTTCTACTTTGCGTTTTCCGAAAAGAATATCTTACTTAAAAGTTAATTAATTAACTTAAAATCAAAGGTAAACGGATAATAGTGCGCGTGCGAGAGAAGGGGACAGGTACTATTAGCATCGGTTTACATCGATGTCGGTGACCAGAAATTCATTTCTCTCAGTTCCGAGGGTTTCGCTTGAAACACATTGGAATAGAGGGACGATTTGTCCACGGCTTTGTCATCGCTTCCTACGTATGTGAGATTTTGCGACGAGATAGACTTCTTTCGAGTCAGCGCTCTGTGAGGAGGAGCAGCGGACATATCCGTCTCGTCCTCTTCGTCAATTTTCGCAGTAACGATCTCCCTGGATTGTCCAAAGATGTTCGCTAGTATCCAGCCTCCTTGATACTTTTCGCGATCAGGGAGGAACGTTCCAGTAAAGTATCGATTCGGAGGAAGGCGACGACGAGCTTTCGGCGAGCTCGTAGGGCTTCCTGCCGGCGAGGCGAGCGGAGTCGCCGGTAACGATTTGCTTCCCCTTCTCAGTTGGCCACTAGCCTGTTCGGCCGAGAAGGTTTCGTGAAATTTGTTAGACATTATCTGGCTAGCTACGAGGACGATCGACTTTCCACAAAGCGCTGGCTCCCCATGAAACCCATCGTCCACACCTTGCGATTTCACCGCTTTCACGTTCTCCACTAGCGATGCTTTCGACCTAGGTTGTTTAATTTCACTCTCTGCAAATTAATCATTTTCCGTTTTATAATCGAACGAATTAGCGTTTTTACAGATACATACATATTTAAGAGTGCAATTCGGACAATCAATTCTGATACCTTTGCTCGTCGGAGTTGCCGGTACAAACGGTTGACAGGGTAACGGGTGTTTACTGAAATCAATCTCTTGATTCTTTTTTTGCTCCTGGAAAATCTGCTGCGGCGAGTCCACTGGTTTTCCGTCACTCGAGGACGAAGAGCTATGACTCTGCCCACTTAAAACCTCGTCGATCGGCCGATAATTGGCCTCCTGCGAGGCTGGCAGTCGGTTCTGTTGGGTCTTTGGGTATCGTAGGTAAAAGAAGCTATCGTCGTGAGACGGTGGACTGAACGTATTCTCATCGAAATCGAATCTGCATGAAATAGAGAAAAAACGACGCGCATTAGTATCGCATGGTGCTACGTAAAGTTAACGAAGCAAATTACGTGTACTCTATTCAATAAACGAAATTTTACGCTCGCGTCAGTTATGAATCTTCTAGATTCGAAAGGATGCCAAATAGATTCCTCCCAACCGGTCTTGCGATCACCTCGTAAATCGCGTTCTTTACGCACCACGACACGTTTAGAAACGTCTAAATCCGATATCGTCGCAAAGACGTGCCAAGGGTGCGATCTGAATATACGAAGGCCTTGCACGCCGCGAGTACTTATCGTTCGGTTCGACACTACGTGCGACGACATACATCATCAACGTACGTGAACTAAAGAATGTTCGTTCCGTTCGATTCGATCCGATCCGATCCGATCCGATCCGATCCGAGCTTTCGGCGTAGATCACATGTCTAGATGGAAATGGTGCAAGGAAAATGATCGCGAAAGAATAAAGCGAACGCTGTGCGCCGCAACGAACCGCACCGAGTTGCAACACTTTTGCGAACCAAGTCTAAGAATAGCGGGCACGATGCCCATAGGATTATCTACTTCTTAGTCTTGTATCAGCCAGATTTCAACATCGAAACAACGTGCGCTTTTTACTGTTCATCGACTAATTTCACGATATACAAATGTATCGATAAGACTGTTGGGTATTTTCCATTGATTCGGAACTTGTTAGCACCCCGTATAATTTGTACTGAATCTATTTCGTTCTACGTACGCGCATACAGATATTTCGTCGCCGATTCATAAATAGGTTGGCGACTCGTACGTTACAGATCGTAGTTTCGCAAGTTCGACCCGGTGTAATTTCGCAGAGACATTTCGAACGAGACGTACCTACTCTCGGTTCGTCCTCTCATCCATTGTGGCAAAGATATCCCGCTGCTGAGGGATCTATCTTGTCTCGTCGAACCCATTGTACATTACAACCAATTATTCCGTTTTTGTTTTTCAAGTCGAAATCGATGAGCACGGCTTACGTTTGTTCGCTTATGTCTTCCTTTCCGTTCCAACGCGAAATCATCGGATTCGTAGAGTTAATAATTGATATTAAAGACGTGACCGAGAAGCTGATCTTCTAAGAGGCTTGATCTAATGCGAACCGTTTCCTAGGAGTTCGACTTACGCGTCACTCTGCCGACCTAGAACAAAACAATTAACGCGAAACTGTACGCGCGTACGTGCATGGAAAATTGATTCAAACAAACAAGTTTGTCGCTTTAAATAAAAAGATAGAGAACAGCCAGTATGCTGAGTCCACAAAATGAAATTCCATGGACTGGGTTTCAGAAAGAAAATGATTTAACATGGCCTGGCTGTATATTTGTAATCATCAGAAATAGTAGTGTGACAGATCTCTTTTTCCCCCTAATTGCAACGCGTAATAATGTATACATATGTAATATCTACGTAGGTGCAATATATATGTATTCACAGGTTTGTACGTATAGGTTGTACATACGTAAACTCAATTATGCAAATAATTACGATTCCTAGAAATTAGCGTAATAACTCGTCCTCGTTTCATCATTTTATGATTAAAAAAAAGAGCAAATACGAATGCAAATGTACGAAACAAATAATAATCAAGCTAGAATTAGGTACGAGAAGAATAGAAACTATGAGAAATACTAGCTATTAAACAAAAGAAGCTAAAATTTTAAACAATGGAATTGGTAAAGTCTCTTGTTCTATGATGTCTAAGCACTAGGCATCTTGCGATTGTTTTAACAGCATGTATAATTAAACATAAACAAATAAACATGCTCCATTATCAAATCGGGTGACAGTGCCCGTTATCGATCGTTCGTTTACTTACTCGTTTCTGAGGATACTCTGGATATTCTCGTAGAATTAATAGCTCCATAACGGCGATAGATTTGCAGAAGTTTAGAAACAGTAATCCCGTGACTTTCCAATGACACAGCTACGTATCCACGCACCTTTTATTGTGTGGAATGGTATGGAACGGTAAATGGCACAAATTCATCTATACATCAAGTTAGGCTTCTAACGGAAGCGTCGTTCTTTGTTGTTTGCCGTCAATGGTAACATCCGGTTAAACCTTAGCCGAAAACGAAAAAGGCCTAGGGTTCAATAGAACAAGCGAGAAGACGTCGAATCAATCTCGCTGTATTTAAATTTGTATGTATTTGATCTCCGTACGTTTTCCGTATCGCATAATTTTAAAATATAATAAATCCTAAGAAGACCAATCAGCGTACAGAACAGAATACTCTTCCGGTGCTCGTAAAGTCGTAAACCGCGACACTGCTTTGACGTCCTCTCCTTCCGGTTGAGTTCCCAAGACTGAACCATCGACGGTGAGTTGGTTGAAATATAAATCTATCTCCATCGGACTTGAACGAACGATCTCAGTAGAAATTTTCCATGATACTCCGTCTACTTTTATCTCCGCTGTACATTCGGGTATTCGTTTCACTGTAGAAAACTATCGACATACATGTTCGTTCGGTGACAGTTGCTATATCCATTGTTCTAATGCATTCGTTATTTATGTTTAAAGACGCCACGTGCGTTTGTTGCCAACGAACGTATTGCAATTAATGATACGTGTCCACAGGTGATCAACGACAATGAAGTTCAATCGATTTGTTACTTCTTCGCGGCGAAAGAATCGAAAAAGGCATTTCACGGCGCCTTCTCATATTCGCAGGAGGCTTATGTCAGCTCCTCTATCGAAGGAACTTCGTCAGAAATACAATGTTCGATCGATGCCGATTCGTAAAGACGATGAAGTACAGGTAAAACATGATGCCAAATACGAATACTTGCCTGGCAAGTAATATTCGCTAACAGAATTTATTGAAAACGATTGAGAGATTGCATGTTAAACATTCCTGTTGCTTCTTTTTGCAATAGGTTGTAAGGGGACACTATAAGGGACAGCAAGTTGGTAAAGTTGTTCAAGTATATAGGAAAAAGTTTGTTATATACATTGAAAGAATACAACGTGAGAAAGTTAACACTGCCAATGTGTATGTTGGCATTGATCCATCAAAGGTAAACAAGAATTTTCTCTTAGTCTATCCAATTATTTGATTTCTATACATGATGATTTCAACTATCCATTCACATAGATTGAGACAAAGAGCTTGTCAGTTGTATCAGTGTGCAGGGTTTTCTTGTATATTTGTGCATCTGATTTGCTTGGTCTTTTTGCTGCAGAAGAGTTGGCTCTGATATCTTAATTCTGTTTTGTGTCTCTTAACCAAGAATCATTCGTGATTCTGTGAATCATATGAATCTTGTGTGTTTTGCAGACAGTCATAGTGAAGCTAAAGATGGACAAAGATAGGAAAAAGATAATAGACAGGAGGAGCAAAGGTAGACTCGCAGCATTGGGCAAAGACAAGGGAAAATATACTGAGGATTCTACAGCAGCAATGGAAACATCATAAGCTTAGGTCTCAGTTCATTTATTTGATTTAATAAAAATATTAAACCCCATATTTTGTGTAACATTATTTGTACGACTTAAAACGCTAAATTGAAAAATCTATTATTTACAGTAGTTTATATAAAATAAACTTATTCATCGGTTTGTTTAGAGTTAAGTAATGATTGGAATATATGCATTGTCCATCAGTAAGGTTTTGATTGCACTCAAGTGCAAATAACGTAGATACGTTTCACCTGAGTCTCTCTCTCACAACAATCCTCTTCATTGGTTTGATGTTCACTAGACAGAAAAAATACTCGATCAATCCAATACAAATTATTTTCATAGTAATGTAGATGTAACGGACAAATGTAGATCTGCTTATCGCGTACCTGCTTTGTAAGGTTTACGAGATTTCCCAGTAGCAACGACGCAAGATAGATTGCCTGTATCCTTACACTCCATGCGATACTTGCGTTTACCAAATTTCAATTTATTCTCTGTTAGAACCATTCGTTTCCCCACTAATTGCTTTTCGAGTACCTGTAACATCGAATTCTCAGAATTATTTGAACATCAAAACAGCATTCTATGTATTACATACCGCAGAAGGAATATCCACAATAAAAATGTCGTCCTCTCCTATATCTTTAAACCTGAAGGAAGGTACCGGTATTTGTAGCTTTAAATTCTCGTTTTCTATGAACTCCTGTAACTGTAAAAAACATGAATAGTGTAAACGTTGTAATTGAGAATCAATACAATCGTATTATATGTACATACATCGTGTGGTCTCTGCAGCACTGGTTCCTCATTCACAATTTGCTCTACGGTCTGATTTTCCAAATTTGTTTCAGTTACTTTCACAATTTCCTCCTGATCAGAATTACAAGTTGATACAGGATTGGAATTGCTCGTTTTCCTTTTATGTTTTTTAAAAGGAAAAACAGAACATCGGTCGACGTATCGTTTTAAACTATTATTCTCGTTATTCAAACAGTCATCGGACTGTTGGGAAACATTGTCACTCTGACTTAGTCTTTCGTTCCTTTTTACTGTTGATATTTTACGTTTAAAGCTTATAGTATCGCTTTCGCTCGCGGATGAATCAGAAGAGTTCAAAGTTCTATTAAATAATTTACTTCTCATGCTCTCAAAGTTGTTGGAGTATGTCTCGTCATTTTCACTGGAGCTGGAATCAGTATCCGTGGTCAAATTTAATCGTTTTAATTGTTGCAACCGTTTCTTGGTGGAAATAGAAATATGATCCTCCGTGTCACATTCTAATTCTTCCGTCTCATGTATTTGTCCATCGTAAGAGTTTGTCGCATTCAGTACTTCCGATTTCAGACTTTTCATAGTTGAGGGTGTATCAAGTACGATCTTATAATCTTTATTAACAATCTCTGTATGAATAACTTTAGGCATTAATTTACGTTTCTGTGTTTCTTCCGTACTTGATTCAGTCCTCATTACGTCTTTACTGCCGCACAGAACTCTATCCTCAGAATCTGTGGTTAGCACATTAGAACTCTCTGATTTTAAATCGTCAGGGTATGTCATATCATCCGTACATTTTGTAATGCTACGCTTTTTCTGTAGAGACTCACTTTTACATTTTTTATAATGCTTTTTACTTTGCAGCAAACATTCTTCTTCAGCGTCCTCCTCGATACCTGAATCTTTCGGTTGATATTTACTACAGGTATCGAAAGTCTGAACTTTAAGAACTTGGTCCTTCTTTTTGTCTATAACACTTGAATTATTTCCTAAACAACTATTATGGTCTACATTTGGCTCTGATTCTCCATGATTCTCTAGTTGAGAATTGGTTTCAGTTTTCTGAACTGTAGTTGTATGGAATGCAACTGCGTTCGAGCTTATAACTTTGGTAGGCAATTCTACAGCTCTCTCTTTCATAGAAATACTTTTTTTTTTAGTTAGAGCATTTTCCATAGATTTATTTAAAGACAATTTATGATTATCCAGTACATCGATGCCAATCTTTCCATAGTCCTTGTCTACTTTGGCACAGCTCGCATCCTTTATCGTTTCCTTACCTATAGACAAGTCAGTTCTCTTCCTCTTAATCTTCCTCCATTCTAAATTTGTATTATCTGATCGTGGTTCACTCTTCGATATTTCTTGATCATTTAAATCAGTGTCATCAGGTTTACTCTCTTTTACAAGAGAGTATTTATATCTGCTTGTTTCCATTAGATAATTTGTTAAAGACGTCTCTGATTTATATACTAGCGTAAAGTCGTCGTCTGTAAAATTATCACTATTATCGGTATCGGTATTGTCTGATAAATCTCTAAGGACCGACGTCTTCATAATAACGTATTCGCTGTAGGTGTTTATTCTGCCGTGTCGTTTCATCTTGGCATTCATAACTTTATTCGTACGCCGTAATTTTCTGGATGGTATCAATTTATGTACGAAAGAACGATCTTTCATCCTGCTTTGAACAGTATTCGGGATAATCTTCCAAGTAATTTGCTGGTCGCTAGATTCCATCGTGTACAGAGCATGTGCTAACCTGCCAATCTGTTAATTATCCAGTTCACTCGATCCACTCTTCGAGGTAGCAATTGAACCAAATCCTAATATACGTTTAGGTATACTACCGCGAAAACGTATGGAAAATAAAAATTCGATTTACGCGTACACGTGCAAATGTGCTACCATGTAAATCGTGTTTTAAGGTTTCGAACAATAAGTATATATACTGAAAACTGAAAGTATACTCGAGTTGAGTATGGAGTATACTTGTAGTTCGTAGTGTAGAGACAGTGTGCGAGAGAAAGAGGCGCAAAAGCGCAGCGAAGGTACGCCGTCCCCGTCAGGAATCGCAGTGTAAAGTGTGTAAAGTGTAAACGGTGGAGGACCGATTTCGGATGAGAATTGATTATCGGTAATCAATCTGTTCGATCGTAGGAGAATAAAAGTAAATCGGACAATCTCCGTACTTTTGTACGTCTGTTGATCGAATATGTCGGGGAAAGCGAATGGGAATTGGAAGATATTTAAAGAAATATGATTCGGGATTTTTTTACAGATTGTGAAAGTGTTGGTCGTACGGCGATGATAATTCGATCGACCGTTTTGAATGAGAATTGATCCCAAGATTTCTATGGGATTTGACGAGAACGAAATAAGATAGAAGAAAATCCGCCAAGAATGCACCAAAACAGGAAGAAAAAAAAGCGAGTGAATTACGGTGTAAGGGCAGTGGAGGTATTACGTGGAACGAAAGGATTTGGTTTCACGATCTCAGGACAACAACCTTGCATATTGAGCTGCATCGTTCCAGGGAGTCCAGCGGATATCGCTGGATTGCGAGCCGGCGATTATCTGGTATCAGTCAACGGTCACAATGTTAGCAAACTGCCGCACGACGACGTTGTTCAGTTAATCGGCCGCTCTAAGGGTATACTGCGGTTGCAAATAGCCGAGAATTATTATTCCGACTCTTCGGACGAGGAGGGAGTGACAACAGTACGCTGCAAGCCTAAATACATTCATAAACCTCGTGCAAGTAACATGGGAGCATTACAATTACAATGTAGAGTCGCCAAAGTTGTAAGAGATTTACAAAGCGGTGCTATGTTTGATGCGACAGGGAAAACTCCGCCTGAGTTGCAAAGCCATGGAACATATTGCGACTTGCACTATCATTGGGACATGTCTAGCCCGCTTCCACCGCCGCCGCCGCCGGCTTCCCACAAACGGGACTCTGAAAAAATAGTGCACAGAACGGTCGTCGGCTACCTTGGAACTATAGACATTCCAAATCAACTGCATCCCTCTTGCATGATGCAGGTAATGCGTAGCTTCTTCCTATGCGTCATTTTATACCTTGTCTCTTCCCTCAGTGGATTCATCCATTCTCATCAATCTTCCATTTCTCCTCGTTGTTGCAGGTGCTGCGAAAATGCATCAAGCGATTGAAGGCCGAAAAGAGAAATCCGACCACAGTTCTACTGACCATACACGTAGCAAACATTAAGCTGACCAACTCGGAGAATCGCGTTATAGCAGAATATCCGTCCTACAGAATAATATTTTGTGATTCCTTTTCCGAACAAGACAAGCAATACTTTGGCATACTTACTAAGTCCGTTAAGGACAAAGAGAATATCGTTTCTAATTCGTGCCATGTTTTTACCATATATTATAAACTGATAGACCATGCGGTGCATTCCAACGTGTGCAACATATTTGGGTTTACGTGTACGAAAACTTCCGAGTTGAACGTATGTCAGGAGTTCCCAGACAGTTGCAACGGCCTGATCGGTGCTATACAAACATTGTATATATCGGATTCCACGGTGGCTGATACGAATCCGTATAACGAAATGAGAAGGCATCAGGAAACTGCTTCGCCACAACCAAGCAATATAAGTACATCGACGGCTCATTCTAGTAACAGCGATTCTGGAATTGGCTACAAGGAGGACAGCACGAGTCGTTCTGATAAAAATATAACGCAAAATGGATCGAGAAGACGATGTCCCCCTGCTCTGGAGTATAGGGTATTTTAATTCAATTGAAATTTTAGTTAAACAACACTTCGATTGTAGATCTAGAGAAATTCGATCGCTGTTACTGCGGCAATTAAAAAATCTGCAATCCTCCTTGATAGTATATTGCACGGTCTTCTCGTGTTGTAGCAATTCTTTTGCTCTGCTCTACTTATACTCTATCGGTACGAAATGCCCTCAGCACGCGTATAGCAATAGATTCGTAGAAAATTCCAAGTCGTATTGTCTCGAGCAATTAGGAGAAGTAATCGATACGTGTTTTTAGAGTGCATGCGAATATTCGACGAGGTTGTACGGTAACGAAGCCGCCGATTTAAGATTGACGGTGCGAGCTGTGCCGGACACGTGTTGGAACGAGCCGAGTAAATCAGACGTCTACAGAGATAACGCTCGATCGTTTCGCGAAAGTGTTATATTCCACGATTTCCCGAATGGATCGAATACGTGCGCGGAAATGGTGGAGATTTCCGAGATGCATTCCGGTGCACAAAAGGGGACAAAGAGAGGGGGAGACTTGCCCACCTGCCCATTGCCATCTGCCTCGACGGTGAAGCAGGGGTTGGCTAGTTCGTCCGTTGGTTCCCTCGTGTCCGCTTGTTCCGCGGCCGCGATGCTGCACGGCGTGAAGGATCGTCCAGAGATCTCCGATTATTCCCTGAACAGATTATTGGGATCCGCGAGATCGACGGAGTTTACGGATGCCGATGCGCAATGCGACAAATTCAGTCCGAAGGTATTCTCCGGCATTTCCAAGTCCTTGGTGCACAGTTTCGAGGATCTCAACACGAGCATGGATTACGTGCGACCGCTCTGCGAGACCTACTCGGATAAATCGGATAATTCGCGGCCTTGGGGAAGTCTGCAAGAAATTCGGAACGTCGGAACTTGCTCACGGGACAGCTGTTTGGTGAGTTTTATTGATTCATCTTTCGCTCTATAACGATTCTACGAGGGTAACGTACATTTTGATCGGTCTCGATCGATTGATCACCGGGAAGAGAAGGCAAAGCAACATCGATTCCATTTTCCTATATGAATATAGACATGCGAAACGAGTGGCCCGGTTATTTCGACTCAGGCTCGTTCGAGCAGGCAAGAGTATGCATATGCATGAATAGTAGCCGAAACTGAGAATGAATAAAAAAGGGGGTTCGGCGATGAACGACGGTGTAAGGTGGGGAGATGAGGAAAAGGGGGGAGTTGAGAACGTACGGCGAAGAGAGGGTCTCCTCTTCGTCGTATTCCACCGTGACATAGTTTTATACTTTTTCGATTAAAAAGATGATGAAACTTATTTAGACAAGGGACGATTAGATTAGCGATAAAGAAAAGTTTACGATGCGGGCAAGAATGAAGTTACGGAATGAGGAAAGGCGGATTAATCGTACAGCCGACAGAGTATACCACGGGATATACATCATCGCGAAGAGCAGGAGAGGGAGAGAGAAAGAGGAGGAAATCAAGTGCGAGCGAATACACATGTATGTACTCGTAGCAGCGAGTGCACACGCGAGAGTGACATGTTGGACACGAAGCGAACGTGACGTTGATCGCGAGGATTATAGTTTCTATCGGTGGTGATTAAGAGTACGCACGGCGATTGTTTATGTTACTGCGCTTGGAGGAATTCATTGAGCAGCGCTCCACGTAAAAATCGTTGTAAAAATCGATCGGTCGATCGCGTGTCGGCGGTCATGTCGGTGTGCATTGCCTTCTCTTGATCATCCAGTCGAATTCACCGTGCGTGGAATCGTAATTGTCAACGGTGTAGCACGGCTCGGTTACAGTTGGGCGGAGCCCTTAGAAATTTTCCTCCGAGCAGAACGCGGTCGCTCGTTTCACCAGTCACCTCCTCCCGAGTCTTTTAATTATGTTCGTATAAGCGCATTTATTTCCCCCCAATGGGAAATGGAATCGTGTCGCGGCCACACGAAGGAATACAATCTTCGATCACGACATGGATACCGTGGTGAAATCGGTACGTGCGATATAAGACGTGTGTGTACGATTAAATAGATATCGTAATAGATACGTACGATAAATAGAATCCGTAGGTACTCCAGATTGAACGATGTTCAAAGTCGGTGCATCCTGTTTTCTCGTTTCTTTACGAATCGAACATGCGAATAAGTAATTGTAAATGAATTAAACGCGTGATTCAGACTCGTGAATATTTATGTTCGAATGTGACGTTTAAAAACGTCATTCCTTTCGTACAATTGCGATACATGGTACGCGCGATGAAAATTATTTTAAACGAACGAAAGAGTTTCTAATTCCGAGCGATGGATCGCAAGAGAGGTGCCAAACCTTTGTACAAGTCGTATGATTAAATTTCATATGTCATTCAGTGTATTCATTGTTTGTTCGCCGATTTATTCGCGATCGATCCTTGGAATATTCGTGTGTCCGTTCGATGTCGCAGAGCGCATACGCGCTCGATCGTTCCCCCACGGCTGACTCGTTTAATCCCGATTAACTGCGTTCTGAACGGCATGTAATTTTTAATGCTTGTCTAACGCAGCACGGTAGCAGAGAATTATGCGAGAAAAATACGGATTGCAAGAATATCCACGCATGGGCCAGCGGGTTTGAAAAGTTATTGGAGGATCCGAAGGGTTTGCAAACGTTCGCGGTAAGAATTTTAATTTAAATTAAAACGGAAAATCGACCGCTCTCTTCTCTACGTTCTTTCGACTTTGTTTTAAGGAATTTCTAAAAAAGGAATTCAGTCACGAGAATATTTATTTTTGGGCCGCCTGCGAAAGGTACAAGGACACGAAAGATGTTACGACGAGGCGTAAACTAGCGAATCAAATTTATCAACGTCACTTATCGACGACGGCAGCTGAACCCGTTAACGTCGACAGCCATGCCACGGGACAAATAACCCAAGAGCTTCTCGGCGAAGCACCCGCCGATCTATTCCTACAGGTGAAGACGTTAAGTCTGTTTGTTTCTTCTAGCTAATAAGTACGCTAGCTTTTAGTGAACAGAAATCGTCAGTTCGTATTTCTTCTGCTTCCAGGCTCAGAAACAAGTTTTCAATTTAATGAAATTCGATAGCTATCCAAGATTTTTACGATCCGATTTATATCGCCGTTGCGTCGAAACAGGAAGCTCTATAGTCGGAGCGGAAGATTGCGACTTGAACCTTACCAGTTCTCCTAGCGTAAAGTTAAAGAAAAGTCACTCGGACGCGGAGGATCGATGTAGGAAATCTATTCTCCCGTGGAACAGAAAAAACAGGTAACAGGATGAAGATACATATGGTCGATCGAAAGATCTCGCGTCTATCATAAATGATCCTACGCATGTCTCAGGTCTAAATCGAAAGATCGCGGAGAGTCCGAGTACAATAAAGGCCCCAGCAGAAACGAAACGATATATAAGAGTTTTACAACTATAAAAAGAGAGACGGAAGGTAACAACAACGACGACACTGTTTCTATATCTAGCAGCAGATCTTCGCTAGCTTCGTGGGATTTGGCGTTGAGGCAATCGATTCACAAACACGTAAGTTCGACTTATTCCGCTTACTTTTTCGATTCACGATCGAACGTGGAAGGCAAGTACAGTTTTAACAGTACGCGATAACCGAGATATCAAGTATTGCGAGTGTGTGGTAGATGCATCGGTATCGAGATTGTTCAAGTTGCGGTGTTACCTAATTTCGAATCTACAAAGTTGTTGTATGTGTAACTTGTAGTCTTCGTCGTCGTACGAAGGACAGTCGAACGATACAAAAGAAGTTCGTGCCAAGTGTACCGGTTTGTGTCGAGTAATATTGCCTGACGGATCGACCACGGTTGTACCAACGAGCCAAACGGAGAGTATTAAAGATGTGGTTACGCGTCTACTCGATAAAAGAGCTCTTCGATATTCTAACTATGACGTTTTAATCCTAGCTACAGAAGAGGTTTGTGTGTTCTCTCTTGTATTTATTTAACGCACGTTTGCCTCGCCCAATACTAACAGAATAATTTGTTGACACATGCCGAAACGTGCTTCTTTCTGGCTAACGGTGTAAGGATCATTACAATGTATTTTACCAAACGCGCATGCATGCGACTGCTTATTGCTGTAGAATGTAGAGCATGAAACGCACGCAAATATTCGATACCGATATTCGTGTACTCGCTTAGACGCGAGCCAGAGTTCTAATTCACGTCGCTTATTAATTTCTCGCGGTTTTAGACGATAGAGACGAAATATCCATCGTCGGCGTTGGCTGGCCAAGAGGTGGAGGTCGTACCAACGAAAGTATTGAAAGTAGATTTACCTACTCGGCGAACGATAACTGTGATCGCGCATAAAGGGAGAACTCTTAAAGAGGTGCTCAGACCGCTTTTGAACAAGTACGGTTTCAAACTTGATGCGATCACTGTATGGAGCGAGAACCATCCTCTTTACATGGACATACAAGCGATCGATGCGCCTACGAGACTGATTTTGACCAACGGAAAGGACGAAGGTATTAAATGCTTCTCGAATTAAGAATATGCAATCAAGATTACAGTACGAATTGATCATTTTAGATCTACAAAAAGGATTGCTTACGCAAATTAAATATGGACAGAGTGTATTACATTCCCAGCCGACGTTGGACGAGATTACCAACAGAGTATTTGAAGAACTGCTGGTGGGCAAAGCTTCGAGTAAATATCATTACAATGACGGTTCATGTAAGGTAATAAATAAGATACGCGTCGTCTTCGCTTAATTTAAGTTTCACGTCGTCGAGTTCGGTATCAAGCCAATCTAAGTTACGTTAATGTTACCGTTTTATTTTTCAAAACGTAGTCTGACGATCAACGCTCCGAAGGCTCTTCTATTTTGCCGAGCAAATTTTTTCTTCGCGATTCTACGATGCATGGAAAGAAGAAGGTGCGTTAATCATTAAAGCGTCTAGCGAATTACTTGTATTCACATAGACTTCTATTAAAGGGTGGGAAGACCAAGTCTAACACGAGCGAGAGAAGTAGTACGAACGATTACATGTCCGAGGATACGACCAAGTCCCATCCTCCTCCTTTGATAGCAAAGTTACGGAACGGTGTGAAGCTACAATTGCCGGGAAAATTTGATGGCGATGGTGAGGAACATGGAATCGAAACGCTTTCTTACCACTTAAATTTATTTGCGATGAGATAGATTATTATTCTGTTCGTAGATTTGTACGAAGGTTTGAAACGTGCGCAAAGATCTAGATTGGAAGATCAGAGAGGTACAGAAATTAACTTTGAGTTGCCTGACTTTTTGAAGGTAAATAAGAATTACATGTCCTTAAATAAAATGTATCGTAACGATTCATTTGATAACGTGTGCTATTAATACGACATGTTTCGGCTTTTAAAGTTATGAAATTATTCATTAGAATAAAGAGAACGGGAAGCCGATGGATCGTGGCAAAATTCGAAGACCTAGGATATCTCCTAATTGCGAAGCGAACTCAAAGTTTTACGGCGCAATGTACGAACGGCAGAACTGCAATGAATACGATCAGAATTCGGCAGCTGAAACAACGACGATGATGACTCTAGCGACGACGGCTCTGGTTGCTTCATCGAAGAATGGGAATCCTGACGAACGGCTTCGTACGTCGATCACTGGAAAGGAATCGCAGAGTAAATCTCCAGATACTTCGTACAGCTTAGACACGACTTTAACGGACGGAGATCAGACAGTCGTGGAGAACGGTTCTTGCTCTCGAACCGCTTCTTCGGGTTCGTTCGACTCACGAATCAACTCGCCAGGCGCAACGAAATCGCCGAAACCTCCTCCTCCTCTACCGCCCAAACCGAAAAATCTCGTGACAAGCGCAACGAAAACTGGACATATCGTAACTTTCAAGTCTTTACCAAAGTCCAACCTCGCTGTTCCTTTAAACTCGACGGAATTATCACGGAACAATGTTTTATAAGATCATTGAATCAAGAGAATGATGCGACGTCCATGTTCGACGTTGCATATAATTATCCTCGTACTCGAACACGATTCACATGAAAGATCAGTATGCAAAGCTTGTAGTATTATTTAGTGCCTGATACGATTCGTAGTATTTCATCGGCTAGCGACAAAGTACACGTGTACCAAGTTTTACGAAGGTGCCTTCGCTTGAACCGCGTCTATAACATCCGTTTTAATCATTTACAATAATCGTAAGTACTCGAGACGTATTTATAATGATTGGATAGTACGGCTGTTACTCTCCTGGTTATATAGGATATATTTTATTATTGTAATTTATAGTGGACGGACGAACGTTGTTGTACGTAAACGATGGAAAAAAATTGAGATTTTATACGTGACAAATAAATTATGCCAAGTCTGTTTTATAAAATTTGTATTGTACCCTCTGTTTCCGCGTTGATTCTGTATCAATTAAGGGACGATTAATTATGCGAATAATAAATATAATTATCAATGGGTGTTTGTAAGTAAATACGGTGGGATAAGTCGACCGATCGTGAAATTAAAATGCATCTTCGATCGAAATCGGATGTACGCAATGAAATAATAATAATTTGCAAGTTTCTTGTTTCTACATGTTTTCAAATTAACTGCTTTTATTTCGTTTCGGTTTTATAGGTGGCGTTCATTCAGCGCAATCGCGATAACATATATTAGGAAGTAATAAATATATATTTATTTTACGCGGGATGCGGCGATCGGCCATCGGTCTAATTCGTTTAGTTCATATGAAAGTCAACGAAAGTGAACTCGATTCGATCTCGTAGAGCGTCCTAACGCAGTCTTCCCTATCACGTTATACTCGGAAAAATAATTGTCATTAATACGAAATGAGAAAAACCTTGTTATCCCTGTTGCAACCTGCTACATAAATATATGCGACAAGTTCGGACCTGTTGAGGTAAGTATTCATGCAATAGTTCTATGATTTATTAACTTATTGAGAAGACAATCCTGCAATATCAGTACGGATTTTTCTTTAAAATATTCCTTTTGTTAAATATCAGAACTTCACATAACCCCAGACGTAATTCTACAGCATGAACAAATGTCTTTCGATCGTTGTCATCCGATTGTTTCATAGCATTAATTCAAACGATACGAGCTTTTAATCTTTATAAGCTGCATCTGCAAATTCTGCTATGTACCGTTCTGAGCACATGGCATAGCTATCGAGACGTGGCTCTATCTATATCAACGTAACGAATACTAGCAGTATATATACAAATTACACAATATCATTTTTCAAAGGACAGTCGTTAGCACGTGTAAGCCTGTCCGTTAGTACGCGAGAGTCAGAGGAGATTTGTTCGTATTGTTACATCGTGAATGCGAATTACACGTATGTTTTACGGTTATTCATCTTCCTGTTTTATTATCGTCAATCTCGTTGAACTCCTATATCTTTCGCTTTCGTCTACTCGGTTGTCTTTGCCACGATTTTGCGTGTATAAACTTATTTCGTCTCTAAGTACGTAGACAGAAAAAAGGTTCTTACACCTAGTTCTCTGTTTTGCGAAGGTTTCGAAGAACGTACAAGACGTCGCTGCAAATGGAAAATAAAAACGCGATGTATTCAAGGCGAGCGAATGTATTATCATGTATTAACGAGACGAATGAAAGCTCGCCAAATAAGTGCGAGGAACAAGAACGATCATCGCCGATCGCATCGCCGATCACTGGAATTGCTCAGCAATTAATGAATTCGATGCTTTCTCCGCATGACAACAGGATAGCCGGCAGCCGAGGTAAACGCCATGTATTTACTCGTTGAATTATCTTAATTAACGTTTACCCAAGTAATTGAACGATTAATCGCGGTGGACCGTAAACGCTGCGTTGAGCCTGCTACATTGTTACACGGGTCGGTCGACACCTTCGGTAGGATCACAGAGCAGATATTGTATACGTTTTTTCAACGCCAGAGCTACCGACTTTTTTTACATATGTATTCCTTCATTACAAAATCAGTCATTTCGTCTGGTTTGGTAGGTCTAGCGTTAGAAATGTCGCTCAGGCGGGCTACGACACATTGTCGAGCGGAAGAAAAGGGTTTCGCGGGGCCTTTGAGGTGTGTGGGGTCTCTGAAGTCTTCCGGGCCTCGGGGTTTTCGGTGGATTAGCATTTATTCGGGTAAAGCCGGCAAGGCAGGATTCGCGACCCGCTCCGTTGAACTTCTGTTCGACGGTCTTTTAACGGTTCCAATCTACTCATCGATTTTCTTTTAATAGTCGCGAAAATATTGTCTATTGCTCGTGGGAATGAGTTCCCGTTCTAATTTCCTTCTGATAAGGCATACACATAACTCTTGCGCCTTATCAGTTCGAGAAATTGGCAGGTACAGAACGTGCAGACACCAGACACGAAATAATTGCCAGATACAGAATGTTCCTGACAAAGGATGAAAAAGTGTCTCTCAGATCAGTCGGTGCAGAAAACTTTGTTCACGTCGTTGGTTTCGAAATTTAAAAGACCGTCTCGCGTTCGTTGGGTAAACGATTCGTTGAGCGCGTGCCGGGTGTACGGTACTTGCTACCCCTTGTCGTTCTATACGTAGAAGAGGAGAAGAAAAGCACGTTTGAGCATTATCCATGCGTCGAACCAACCATTCAACCCGTCTCTCCATTATAAGCTTGCCGTTTATGCAAGGTGTCGTACTTGTCCCGCTATTCTTGTTTCCAGATCGGATAATTTATTCCCCGACTTGCATTACTTTCTACGTTACTCTCTCCGAGTTACGCGTTCGTAACCCTCGAGTCCAGGACCCTTTCGTTTCGTCCCATCGACCCCGTCTTTCTTCGCGAATCTCACGTTTCAACATTTACTCGGTGCTGACGATAAACGGCAGCTACGTCGTATCCGTGAAGCAGTCTAATAGCTCGCCGGCGTTAGGTTTTAGCGGTTTTTATCACGACTCGCGATACACCAGGGCAGGAACACCGTTGAACCTATTTAGTTGGCAGCTGTGTAACTTTCTGTTTAATCGCCTTTCGTGCTTTATCATTTATTACGCACCGTTGCTCGTGCGTGCGACGCCATACGTTTAGTAACTCACGCGTAGTAACCGTAAATACGCATCTAACAACGAGTATACTAGCTATTCACGCTTAAGAGCAATCGCTATTTCCTTAATTTTCGGGAACCGTTCTTAAATTTTATTACACCTTATTACACCCATTTACGACCGATTGTTAATTTCGTCAAATTTTCAAGGGTCCATCGTTAAGGAGTCCTGTACTACCTGCTTACTTACCTTATTACCTTCCTTATTACCTTCCTTATTACCTTCCTTCGGGGGTCGTCGTAAACAGGGGTGCAAGGGTGTCATTGTTATGCAGCGCGGACTGTACGATTAATAGCTGATCATAAACCGCCGGTTTATTAGGAATACATGGATAGGACAATCGACTTCCATTTATTTTCAGTTGGGTCGCGACGGAAAAGAGGAAGAAAGGCTATGAGGAAAGGCAGTTTTGCGATGGTCAAGGCACGCAAAGTGCCGGTTCCATACCCTGGCATCGTTAATGGTCACGGTGGGGTAGGTTGCACCTGTGTATGCCAGGCGAATGCCGCGCTGTTCTTTGGCTTCCACGCTTTTCATTGTCCGCTGTCTTATTCCTCGTCGGTTCTTATCTATTTGATAATCCGCATTCTCGATTCTTACGCGTTCCATCGTAACAGATATACTTTATATTAAAAGAGATCTGAAATAATTTGTTGATCGACTAACAAGTCGCAGCACAATCTTATCCACTGCTTTTAATTGCGATTATATAAACTAACTTGGAAAGTAGAGAGAGAGAGAGAGAGAGAGAGAGAGAGCGAGAAATTATTATCGGGTATCGTCGTTAGAGAGAATGGGGAGAGGGATGCGATGGGGCGCTAACGTGTGCCTCCCGTATTCGGAGGGGTCGGCGCTTACCCCAATAGGGGAAGGTAAGGGCTCAGGGGGCAGACATATGAGCACACATGGGACGACAGTCACCACCTGGTATGGTGTGTAGTCGAATATGCTTGTCGTCTAACGACGAATATAGAAACGTACGCGCGAGTATGTATGGGAGCGCGGTGGGTACCACCCGACTGACAATAAAACGCGTTGCAACCCCAGAAACCTCTCGTTTGGCTCGTGCCACCGTACATTGTCGTAGGCTTTTCCATTTCCACGTGTCGTTGATCGAATGAGACAGCCAAACGGAGCAATCGATATTCCTTGTTTCCGATCCAATGTTTAGCTTTCTAAAGAATGACACGAGTATTCAGCAATCGTTAGAAGTTTTAAAACTCGTTATTATTAGACACGCAACGATTGTGAAACACGCGCCTTCGTTTCGTATTCATGTACGTTCAACATCTGTATTCTAATCTCTCGTTCCTGCCAGTCCGTTGGTTTCCGTTTGGCTGCAAGAGCTAGTTTTATCCATATTTAGTATACGCGCATCGTATATTTGTGGAACAGATATTCCAGTCGAAAATAGATCTCGAAGGGTGGTCGTTCGGTAAATTGGTATAGAGTTCCACCCCCTCGAGGCAGTCTCGTGCCTTCTCCCCCTCGACGATATATTTAAACACCGTTTTTTACAATCTGGAAGCTGCGCCTCGACTTCCCCATCGAATCCCAGCCCCCATTTACGTTTATAGACAGACCGCGGATTCTAGAAAGCAAAGGACGTCTAAAATTCATTCTCATACGTCAAGATCTTTGATACTTCATTTTACATGAAACGGTCTGTTTATCGGACGTGTCGCGAGTTAACGAGTTTTCGTTCGATCAGAGTATAGAGCATGCATCGACGAACGAAAACAGTGAATTGAATCTAAAATGATAGAACGAAATAATGACTCTCGTCACAGGGACTGCGCCAACTTCCTGCGGAAACGTTTCACGGTGAACTTGGCAACGAGGAAAGACGTTCCGGTGTACTTGCGACCCTATTCGAGTGTTATCCGTTCACCTTTTACATTACGTTTCGTTCTCTTTTATTCCGATGAAACGTACCTACCGATCCTCGGGCGTACATCGAACAGTTTCAAGCTTGTACAAGAAACTCGGCATAATTATTGGTCCTTATGAAAAAAATGTTGGTCCTTTCTGAATCTTGTTATTCGTATGCTCGCGTGTTAATCCTTTACCTATACGTTTCTCTTTTCATTTTGGTTTCAGATTTGGACGAACGCAGTCCAGCCACTTCCCAGGGGTAAGTGCTCTCTCGGTGCTTTTTTATTTTAAAACGATCAATGCAATGAGTACACGCTCGATGGTCTTACGCGCCGCGGTGACGAAAAGCTTAAGGCCTAGACTCTAAAACGTCCGTTGGGTTCATTCATGCTAGTGTCTCATTCATCGAACATCGCGAGAAAGACCCGCTCGT